CGCAGCTTCCCAGGTGCACGCAGGAGACCGGCCCCACGCTAGCAGCTGGCGCCGCGAGATCCCTGCGCCCCCATAATGATGTAATAAGTAAAAATGACTGAAGATGTGCAAATAAGAAATATTACTTTGTAAACTTTTGAGACCCCTTGACACAATTAAGTCACTGTATAGACACTGCTTGAACTGAAAATGAAACAATCTTTGGCATTTTGTCAATGCCCTGTTTTCCTAGAAAGTCTCCAGCATGACTAATACATCCACCATGACTATTTCAGCGAACTTGAAAAAAATTTTATCTAACTTTTCTTTTATCCTTGTTCATGAAGCATAATTTGAGTTACACTTTCCAAGAATGGTAAGCAATGAATTCTCCTTTTCTTTTTTAAATACACAGGCTTCAATCCTTATGCAACAAAATAATTTTTCTTTGTAAACTGAATTCGTGAGTTTCAATTTTCAAATCCTCTCCACATGTAAAGAAAACTGTATTTACTTTTATTTTAATGTGATTTTTAATTTTTGATTTGCAATCTGAAATGAAAACACACAAGAACAATAAGGAACAACCTTTTTCATGGTTTACTACAATCCACTTGCTTAATGTAATCACTCCTTATCAGGACTTTTAAATGGTCATCTAGTCAATTTACCTCTGAAATTTATTCTTAAACTATTATTTTATTCATTTTTCTTTTCTATAACTTCTATTTTTGTCTTTTCTTACTACTGATAAATGATCTCTGCGGTATGTGGAATATATTCATATAATGATCTATCTCATGCTTCCCAGTAATCTTACAGAGAAAGACAGTGATATTGGCAGATGCCCATATTCATGGATAATATTTCAGGTGAGGTTTATTTAGCTTTTTACTGGAATTCAGTATTTCAAGTATGCAATAATTAGATCAATTTTAAGGAAGTAATTTGTGACCACGGTAACGATGTGAACAAAAGTAGACAAACAAAATATTCATTTGTATGGAGGAAGCATATGTGTCGGAGGATGGAAAAAGAATTTATCCATATGGAAGAGTTGATGCTAACCTTTGAACAGGGCTGAATAAAGCAGATTTATTCATATTGAAATGCATTAGAAGTGAAGATTGATAGAGATGGTAGAACAGGAGTGGGAAAAAAAAAAAATGTAGCCACTTGTCCTGTTCTGGAGAACTCCAAGAAACTTGTTGCTCAGCATTCTAGAATTTCAGTGAGAGACAATTGAAGCAGAATTTACATTTGTCTTTGTTATATGAGGTATCAAATAAAAATGTTACTCCATGTACATGGGTGCTATAAATGCTCTTGAATAAGGCTCTAAGTACAAAGATCATGGGATCTAATAATTTATCTCTTGGTAAGTCATTTGAATGTTAAGCTCTACTGGAAGGATGCAGTTATATTTATGTGCATATATATTTTGTGATGTGTAAATGTATGTGGCAATGAATCAGGTTATGTATGTGTGTATACAGAATATTAACAGGATATATGTGATTTTGCATAAGAATTGTATTTTGATACCATTACTTGTTTTATTTTGATGTTGCTATTCATAGTTTGAAAAACACTCAATTGGGCTACATCTGAGAGTGAGGAGAGGGATGACTAGGTACAGAGATTAATGAACATTATGAGACCATAGAGAGAAGAAAACTTTTATCAAAGATGATGTGTAGCCATCCACTTAGAAGTATCTGTGCTACAAATGCACTCTACACAAAATTATCAAAATGTTATATTTTCTCCAGGTGTTGCAGTCTCTAGAACTACTGCATGAAATAATGTAACAATGAAGCACTTTATATATTAACTTGCCTGTTATTTGATTTTAACATTAATGTTATTAAAGTTTACTCACAGACATACTAAAGTAATAAATGATCCTTTTTTACCAAACCAAAATTCGCATTTCATAATAATTATCAAATATATATATATATATTATTGGGAGAGACATGGAAATCAACTCAGCATATCAGCATTTTGTTCCCAAGTTAGAAATGTTGCCTTGAATGCTGGCTCCTGGCCATCTCTTTGCCAAGGCAAAGCAAAGACCATAAAATATTTGATTCTCTGTTAATCAAGTATTAAATGAAGAACTCTTGGTTTTACAGCTCTAATTCTTTTTATTGAAATTTATTAACAGCCTGCATAAACAAAAACAATGTTGACTTTTCAGCTTAGGTGCCTTTGTATTATTGAGGAAATTCATGAAATTAGAAAGTTAAGAAACAATATACAGAATAAAGCTCAGGTCACTGAAATATAGAAATGTTTTAAATAAATGCCCATTCAAGATTGAACTCATCATAGTGAAGTGTAGGACTTTATATCCTAATTTTGTGTTTCTTCTGTCTAAACATACCTCTAAATACACTATGATTTTTTTTTCCTAGCAGCATTGACAGCATGTTGCAACAGGATACAAACTATGCAAAATTAATCTAGGTTAAGTTGAGGATATTGATCAAAACTGGTTGAACTGAGGGGAGTCTTTGCTGTACAACAGGAATGACAAATGCAATGACAGAAAACTGAAACAAGGAAAACACACAGGAAAACTTTAAGTTCTTTGTAGTTTTGAAGCATAATTTTCATTTAGGAATAGGCATTACTAATTTTTAATATATAATTTATGATATGCAAGTATGCTAATACTGTGAAAGTGATCGTCATAAGTTTAGGACAAACATGGTTGAAGATGAACTGTAAAAAAATGCTTTTGATGGGTTGTTCATATGTTTAGCATGTATAATGAAGCTATTGATAAGACTCCTAGCCACCCAATTCCTTGTGGTTTCTGTAGAATGTTTAGGATGTTGGTGTAAGAGTAGGGTAGGAAAGAAAGTAATTATATTGCAAAGTCACAGCCAGTTAAGTGAATCAGACTTGGCTTTGGAAATCAAAGAAAATGATAACAAAACATACAGTTATAGGTATTGAATATTAAATTCTAAGAGTGGAAATCTCCTTAGCTGTAAATATTTTTGCATCACAGAGTAGGATCAAGGAGTTTACCAAAAATAATGTATATAAAGAAAAGATCACTGCCACTTTGCATAAGAGAAAGATTTTATAGGTAATAGCAAAGTGAAGTTTTTTTTTTTTTTGGTCTTTTTGAGACAGGGTCTCTCTGTAGCCCCAGCTGTCCTAGAACTCACTATGTAGACCAGGCTGGCCTTGAACTCACAGAGATATGCTTGCGTCTGCCTCCCGAGTGCTGGGATTAAAGGCGTGCACCACCACACCCGGCCCCCAAATGGATTTTTTTTTTAGGAAACAATTCAACATATATAGGATCAGGATAAAAATTGAAGAGAAATGGGTCCTAAGCCTGGACATATATAGATTCTGAATATTTGCAACAGTTATTTTTTTATTTATTACCATGTTATATGACTTTTCATTGGTATGAATAGCAGATTTCAATGAAACTAAATTAGGAATCCTTAACTTCATTACTTAATAAACTTTAAATAATCTAACGAAGCCTTCGGATAACCTCAATAGGTACAGAAATATGGGAAGTGTGCATAAAATATGTAATACAATTCTACAAATTCATGAAGCATATTGTTTGCCTTAAGCATTAGGTCTAAACGTATGTCCTAGATGACTAAGTTATTTAAGTCTGTATCATGCACTTATTTTCCAACTTAGCACAATGTATGCATATTATATAGTTTTATTCCTGTTTCATTGATGAACAAAGGAACAAGTTAGAGGTGCCAGCCAATTGGAGCTAGTAGCATATTTCTCAACTGTATTATTGAGGGGTTTTAGCAGTTTATGTTCCTTTATGTCACAGATTCATGTATACGTATATGCATATGTCTGTGGATGTGAGTGGAATTTTTTAAATGAGATTAATATCTATGAATGTTGATTTTAGAAAACAGCCTATAATTTTAAATATGCCAGAGACATTGATATGTTTGCCCTCAAACAACAATACTACTTTTGTGAAACTTTACACACCCTTTGGGGGTTCAATGACTTATTTTTAATTGGTGAAACCCTTGTTTTATATTAAGTATTCTCCCATCTCCAACTTTTACATTACTAGCTAGCTTGAGTTCTTTTCCATTTGATATATTCAGAGACTTTAAGATAAGAGTAGATGTTAGGCATGGTGGTGCATGCCTTTAATCCCAGCTCTCAGGAGGCAGAAGCAGATGAATCTCCATGACATCTAGGCCAGCCTGGTCTATGCAGTGAGTTCCAGGCCAGCTGGGGCTACAGGGAGCTCCTGTCTAAAAATACCAAGAAAGAATAAGAGTAGAACTAGATACAATCATCTTTGAATAACTTCCATCTAGTAACCTAACTTATTCCACTCTAATTCCACTACTTGGCTGTATGTTCTTCAACTAAGGTGCCCATTAAAGTCAATAGCCATATTTATGAACTATTATTGATACTTTCATACTTTAATATTTCCCACTATTACATTGAGATACTACAAGTAGATACACTGCCCATAATTCCAGTTCCAGGTCAGAAGAGGGTGTCAGATCCCTTGGAGCTGGAGTTGTGTGCAAATAATAATTCCTTCGTCAAACAGGGTTTTATCATCTTTCCATAAATATTATTTTATTTAAATATATAGTATGGAGACACAATATGATGACACTTTGTGACCATTGTCTAGGTTCTGTAATTACTGATTTGTTATCAGTTGTCATATTTTTGATCACCAGAATCCAATTCTGCCTGAAAAATATTTATGAGCAAGTTCAGTGCACTATATACTGCATCATGCCTTGAGCCAAACATTAATCCATATCAATACATTTTTTTTCTTCTCTATCTGATCTGCTCACCTGCAAATCCTTTTCTGCCTTTGTTTTTATGCTTATTTTCAGCTCTCACTCTGATGGATCGACTCCTTTAGAAGACAGACCATTAAACACCACTGATATCTACAGTGCAATCATTGGTGACATGCATGTAGAGGCTCCTTCTGTACCTCCTTTGCTCTCATCCCTCATTTTGTAATGGAAGCGTGGGAGGCCCTGGTGCATCTGAGGATCAGTATCCTGCCTCTGTGGCTGGAATTTACTCTGTTCCTTTATGGATGGCCACAGATTGGGCGATTGCAGTACCACAGCCCCCAAGAAGTGGTGATACCCTTGAGGGTCACTGGAGCTAGTAGAGCAATGGCAGCTTCAGGCTGGCTCTCCTATAGCCTGCACTTTAGGGGCCAGAAACACATTGTCCACATGAAAGCCAAGAAGCATTTGGTGTCCAGAGCCCTCACTGTGTTCACCTACACTGACCAAGGTGCTCTTCTTGAAGACCAGCCTTTTGTCCAGAATGACTGTTACTACCATGGTTATGTGGAAGGAGACCCAGAATCTATGGTTAGTCTTAGCACTTGCTTAGGAAGCTTTCAAGGAATATTGCAGATGAATGGAATTGCTTATGAAATCAAGCCCAAAAGGCTTTCTGCCACATTTGAGCATCTAGTATATAAGATGGACTGGGAAGACACAAAATATGCACCTATGAAATATAGATTAACAGAAGGAAAAATAGCAGAACAACAGAAGTTTCAAGGGAATGATGATTCCACTCAAATGCGAAGTTCATACACTGAATGGTGGCTCCACCAATGGTTTCTTGAACTGGCAATTGTGGTAGATCATGGAAGATTCATTTTTAGGAATAGTAATTTATCAATTGTGGAGATGGATGTAGTCATGGGTGTCAGTTTAGTAGATGACATTTATAGCTTAGTTGGTCTTGATGTGGTACTCATTGCAATTGAAGTCTGGAATACAAGAAACCACTATACAGTATCTTCCACATATGATATGATGGTACAGTTTTGCAAATGGAAGAAATACAGCTTCAATAAACGTGTATCCCATGATGCTGCACATATTATTATGAAACAAGATTTTTGTAATGACACTCTTGCAACGACATATTTTTCAGGACTATGTAATACAAATAAGAATTGTGGAGTAGAGTGCATTATGGATGATAGCCTGGCTTCGTTTAGGACGTATATGACACATGAGATTGGCCGAGCATTGGGGATGATGAATGATGATGGTAGATATTGTACATGTGGTAAAAACATATGCATAATGAACAAACACCTATTACCCTCAGAGGCATTCAGCAACTGTAGTTATAATGACTTTTTACACACTACTTTCACAAAGACTTGTTTGCACAATATCCCAAATCCAGTGAACGTTATCACAAGGGAGCGCTGTGGGAATGGAGTGATTGAAGATGAAGAGGAGTGTGACTGTGTTTCTATAAAATTGTGTGCAAAAGACATATGTTGTTCTGAAAACTGCACTCTGGTCTCTGGGGCAGCTTGTGCCTCTGGGCTTTGTTGTGAAAACTGCCAGTTGATGACATCAGGCACAGAGTGTAGAAAACCAGACAATCAATGCGATCTGCCAGAATGGTGTAATGGAACCTCCAGTGAGTGTGCAGAAGATATGTATGTGGAGGATGGGACCCAATGTCTGGGCAATGGTATCTGTTTTCAGAAAAGATGCAATGACCGTAATGAGCAATGCAGGAAACTTTTTGGTAAAGGAGCCAAGAGCGCAAATCAGAAATGCTATCTAGCAATGAACACCAAAGGTGATCATTTTGGTCACTGTGGTATGGATGGTACTAAGTATGTAAGATGCAGCCAGTCAGATGTTCTCTGTGGGAGAGTTCAGTGTGAGAACGTGACAGAAATGCCTCATTTGCAAAGTCATACTACTGTGCTCTCATCTCATGTTGAAGAATATACCTGCTGGAGTACTGACTATCATTTTGGAATGAGCATATCTGATATGGGGGATGTGAAGGATGGTACAGAGTGTGGTCCAATCCTTATGTGTTTGAAAAGGAAGTGTGACACTGAGCCATCATGGAAAAAATCTTGCATGCCAATATTCTGCAATAAAAGGGGAATTTGTAACAACAAACATCACTGCCACTGCAACAAGGATTGGGCCCCACCCAACTGCCTGAATGCAGGCAATGGAGGTAGTGTGGACAGTGGCCCACCTCCTGAAAAAATGTCACAAAAGTTGATTTTCCTGATATTTTTAATTTGTATTTTTGCTTTTCTTTCAAGTTCCTTTTGTTTACTTGTTTTTTGTATCTAGAGAATGAAAGATATGAGGAAAAAAGGAAAACTGTACATTTATCTACGAAAAAAATGTTCTGTCACCTGAGAAACCTGTCGGAATAGAACTTGAAGGAGAAGTGCAAAATGTTGAAAAGCTACCTGAGCAAAGAGAAAAAGATGTTGAAACTTTAATTTAAAAGAGCAGACGGTCAACACTTGTTTCAAGAGATAGTCAAGTATCAAGTTAAACACCTGCTTCAAGAAGCAGCCGAGCATCATCAAAACATCTCCCCCACAAAGAAAAACAGTAAAACATTCATGTCTCACCTGTGAAATAAGATCAAAAATGTAAAATTTCAAAAAATACATTCAGTTCTAAGGAAAGTTTGTATGTAATAATTTCTAGTGTTCAGGTAGTAGAAATACTGTGGCGCTTAAGATTGCTAAGAGAAAACCCCAGAGATCATTTTTTCAAGATCATAAAGTTATGTCCATAAGCAAAGATATTTGATAGCATATTCCTACTTTTTATTAATTAAAAAAGAGTGCTTCCCTACTTTTTGTGCTCACTGATCAAAGCACAATTCATTTGTGGTGGTGGTGGTGGTGGTGTGTGTGCTAATTTGTTGTTTCTCAATTCAAACCACTTTCCCTTTCTCACCTTCCTATTTTACATAGAAAATCACACTTTTTACTATTTCGGTCAATAGAATGCTATGGGAGTCTGGAAACCTGAAGGAACAATTGGAAAGTTATTTATGTCAATGTTGCCTCAGGAACAGCCTTCACCTTGACAACAGCTGTAGTTTTAATTCTGTACATTTACTGTTTTTAACATTTCCAGTGAAATGAAATTAATCAGGTTTTATTGGAACAAGGAAGGATCCATGAATTAGTCATCCTTTCAATTTCAGAAGAGATTCAAAGATCCATTCACCAATGTGGGTAGACAGAAAAAGTAAGTAATTGACATTGAAAAAGGAAGTGACATATGGAAACAGATTGATTGGGTACAAGTGATTTGCCTTACTTGACATGATGAGTTGTGGCATTTGTATTCTACAGACAGCATCGGAAAAGTTAGTAACTTTAGGTTAGTTGGATCTTGGCTGCTGTGATTGGTTGAGGCCCATTTATTTGTTATAATAATATAATCTTAAATTGGGTTATAGATTATCTATATATTAATTTAAGTTGGTGTTAGGATTTGGAATCATGGAACAGCTTTAAATTAAATTAATTTGGATATAGATGTACACACACATATGCACACATACATGCATATTGAACACACAAAAACACACAATAGTATTTCCCCCTTACAAGGAGCCTTTCTGTGGCTTTTAGTTACCTAATAAAAGTCATGATCTGCAATCATTAAGTGGAAAATTCCAGAAATTTCCATTTTGAATTGTTGTTTCATATAAACTACATGGTTGAGATGTTAAGTCATCCTGCCTGTCCCCTACCAGATTTTGAATAATCCTTTTTCTCCTAGCAGTTTTCCACAGCTTACATTTTTCTGTAGCAACAATGGCTTTTGCTTCTTTAATACCTGTACATATGTTGTTCGGAAATAATTTTGATTTCATTATTGTTTATTTATTTGTCATATTTTAAATAAATATTCAAAATCCTTAACAGGATTTTATTCTGGGGAATATAAGCTATACATATGAAAAGGTACACTTAAATGAACTCTTCAAATACACATTTTAAAAGGAATGAGGGAAATTTGTCAAGGCTGCAGGCTTACTCCCCATGTAACACCATGACATGACGTTCTATTCAGTACATTCATTGCTTTGCAAATGGTGGTGGTGTCTAGTAGCAGCAGTAATGATGAAAGGCAGCACTTACTTGTCCTGCTTACTGTTCTGAGCATGATTTTTGTTCTCAACTCTTCATTCTCACAAGTTCTCTGCCACATGATGAAAACACTATTGCATACAGGTTTTACATAACCCAGGCAACTAGATTTTCTATAAAATTCTTATCATACTATCAACTCTCTAAAATGTTCAAATTTCACGGAATGAATCATTTATTTACATATAAGTAAACCCATTAGATAATGAAATATCTATTTACCAAAATTTGTAGTTTTACACATGTAATATAAACTTTTGTAAATCATCTGATATAAATCTGAAAGATTAATGTATTTCCATGTTTATGTCCACACAAATAGTATTTAAACTGCTTTTCTGCTAGACCAGTAATTATGAGATACATCAGGGACATAGGGCTTCATGTATGAAAATTTAATTGTTCCACAAATGCTCCTTTTTATAATAGTTCAGAACCTCAGTCCATGGAGTTTGCTTTTCACACTAAGGATCAGTCTACCTACCTCTGTGAACCTAATCTAGAAAATAATTTTTAAGTATGGCCAGAGATTTGTCCTGAAGATGATTTTATATCATGTCAAGAAAACAATCAATATAAACCATCACAAAAATCTTTCCAAATGTTTTCAACAATCTCACCAGAAAATACTATCCTTCAGAGCATGATGGCACAAGCCTGTAATCTCAGCGCTCAGCCAGAAAAGGTTAGCGGATCACAAGTTTCAGGTCAGCTTCATCTACATAGTGAGAACCTTTCTCAAAAGACTTATTTACAGTGAAGGATATTTGGGTACAAATGCCTGAGTAAATAGTTCTCAGCATGTATGGCAGAGTCCACAGGGTTCAGTGGGAGGATAGGGGAGGTATGGACTGGGAAAAGGGTGTGGATTTAAGTGGGAAATGTTGTATAAAATTTGAAAAGCTCAATAAAAAAGTCAAAAAAAAAAACAAAAGAAACCAAAATAAAAATGAAGCATAAACTCCAATAACTAAGAATATAGTTTAGCGATAAGTCATGCATCTAGCCCAGCACTTACAATGCCCTAGGTTGGATGCTGAGTGCAACAAAACAAACAAGTAAACAAATAGACACACATATAAAGCATTTTCTGCACAATTTTCCTTCACATGTATATGAATACTCTTTTAAAAACTATGTAATTAATAGCTATTGAGAGCACACTCCTTAATGATCATGGTGTCAGCATTGTTACGTAACTGATGGCATATTATCCAGTAACTCCCTATTACTTTCACCTGAATGTCCTAGCTTGTCCTTTATCTCTATATTTATATCCATTTGTCCACCAGACTTCATAGTGCTGTATAACGTGCGCAAACTTTCTATTTTCATGGTGAACTAAATTATTTCTTCTGCTTGTTTTATTATACTGAAAATTTATCATACAGAGACATCTACTTTTAAAATAACCTAACTGCACCATTTTCAGTCTTTGAGTGAAACATGTATATAATGTGTTTTGATCAAATCCATCCCATTCCCTCCCCATTCCCTACCTCCCCACCACTTTCTCCTCCCTCCTTCAAGTGCTTTTCCACTTTCTCTCCCTCAGATCTACTGAGTCAATTTAGTGGTACCTATATATGCATGAATATGTGACCACTGGCTGGAGCATGGATAGCCTCTCAGGGCCTGCATCCCTGAAGAAAACTGGTTCACCCTACCCTAGCATCAGTTTTCAACAGTTCTTCAGATAGGGACTACATGAGCCGCTCCAATCTATTCTGGATTTTGGCTGAAATAATCTTGTGCAAGTCTTGTATGTGCAGTCCTAGGCTTTGTGAGTTCTTGTGAGCAACTGCATTGTTATGGTTTGCAAATACTGTTTTATTACGTATGTATATTACCTCTGGATGTTATAACCTTTCTCCATTTTTTTTCTCAATAGTCCCCAAGCCTTGGCAGGAGGCAGTTGTGATGATGATGTCCCAGTTAGCGCTGAACACTTCACAGTCTCTTATTCCATGTGTGTCAATGGAATAATTCCATGTGTGTCAGTGGTGAATTTCTGTGCTAGTCACCATCTACTGCAAATATCTATGGGTATAAAGATAAGAATTTAGAGAACATTTTATTACTTTTCTCTTTAGCAGCATAATAAAGTTCTCCACTAGGGCCAGAAGAGATATTCTTTTTAAAAATATTTTATTTATTATTTTTAACTTATGTTTACGCATGTATTGCCTGAGTGTAGTAAAGTGCACCCGTGTCATGCAATGCCTGCCTGTGGAGGTCAGAAGAGGCTGTCTGGAGTTACAAACAGTTGTTAGCTGCCATTTGGGTGCTGGGATTAGAACCTGGGTCTTCTGCAAGAACAACCACTGTTTTAACCGCTGAGCCATCTCTCCAGCCCTCAGAAGAGATATTCTTAATAGAGAACTTAAAAATGTGATAATGTGATGCATTTATTTATGAAATCAAGACTATTTATCATTTAAGATAATTCTTTATGTCTTCTTGTTGGTTTATCTGGTTCCCAGCATAACTACACTGTTCTTTGAAGTGATCAATAATAAAAAAACAGAGGTTAATTGGATATCAACACAGAAACACCCAACATGATAAAAATGGCTATTAGACTAGTATTTGGAGTGGATGAAATTGAAAAAGATTATTCTCATTGATTGCAATAGAGCAAAATGGGAAGTTTTCACAATGCTACTCAGAATCACTCACAATTAAAAAATTATGAACTGCTTCTTTCTGAAATTCTCCATTTAATATTTTGAGTCATAGATGCATGAAACACAGAAAGTCAAATCATAGATAAGTGGTTGTTGGCAAACTATTTTAATATTCAGCAAGTAAGTGGATTTCTTATTGTATACAAGATGCTTTTACTTACCCTTATTAAGAATTATTTGTTGAGAGGAGACATATGGTCCCTTGGTAGAATAGGAGATACTTAGCTTTCTTCTTTTAACAAGGAATAGATAGCTATCCATCAATCAAATACTTTTTGGAAGGGTTCAAGGGACCATTTAAATTTTGTATTCAAACCATGGATACAGACTGCCTGAAGTTCTTGAAAATTGTTGAGAAGAAAGGTAAAAGCTGTGGGTATTACCCAATGAGTGGGAGGTGACACTGACTCCAATTGCCCACCCATGTAGAATACTGGCATCATTTGCCACTTGAGGCAAGCAGTAGCCATTTCTGTAAGAAACCTAGACTTAAAACTACGGTATCAATCTCTTCTTTTTGAACGCTTGCGCGTGCGCACACACACACACACACACACACACACACAC